GAGACTGTGGCTGGGGTGGCAGCAACAGTCGTAGTGCTGGAGCCACTGTGGCCTAAAATATAAGAGGCGAGGTCTGCAGGAACATGAAATAACTTTTAATAGACCAGCTGGTACAGTTGGGGTTGGAAAAAAAAAGCCCACAACCACACAAGTCCTCCTTTGAGCTGGTGCACCTCTGTGCTTGGCCGTTTTTAACGGCTGCATCACTTGGTCTAATTAAAGACACCACTGCTCCCTGCAACCCTTGTCTCTTCCTCCAGCCAGTCCTTCTCAGGATGAGAAATCTAGGTCATTTTGATGCTCTCATTGTGATACTTGACAGCCTGCCAACGTGAAATAAAGATTTTGGCCTTAACATGTGAAGTAGCTAATGCCCTGTGCACAGGGCAAAGAAAACCTGTTGTCCTTCAAGACTGAGAGCTTGAAGCTGTCACTCTGCCACCATCAGTGTGGACGGGTGTTTGGATGCCCAGAGGCCCCACAAGAGCCTCTGGGCATCTCTGTCAACCAGCAGAGACTGCAGGAGCAAGGAAGCTATGGCAGATCCAAAGCTGGTGGGATGCTAATCTGGAGCAAAAAAAAAAAAAAAAAAAAAAAAAAACCAAACCCAGTCACAACTCTGGCTGTCAAAGAGGGGATGCCTGAGCAAGTAAGAGCAGAAGGACATCCTGCGCTCCATGTGAAAAGCCTACAGGACACGTTTTGTGGATACAGCATCCCCCCCGTCTCCTCATCGGTCTGTACCCCACGGCGTGGCCATACCTGGCACCCCTTGGAGTCCCAGCCCCAGCCGGCGGGCGCAGGAGGGGCACAGGTCCCACTCCCACCACGGGACACGCTACGCTCCTGCCTGACCTTTACTGGTGGCTCAGAGGAGGTCACCGTGTCCCGATGGCTCCGAGCAGCTGGGAGCGAAGCCGCCCAGCGAGGCCGGGCTGGAAGGAAGGAAGTTATAGCAGGCTTTTAAATAGCGCTCTGTAATACCTGAAACTTCTATTTCTGTGCACAGATAATATGGTTTCCATATTCTTCTCCCTGCGCATCAGGCCCAGCCATTCACACTCAAACTGAATTAGCAGCAACCCACATTCTTCACCAGTTCAACCATTGAAGCTCTGCGAGGCTACTCATTGCCACCCTGTAGGATAACCACAAGCTGTACACTTCACCTAACGAAGAAACGTATAGATTTCCTTTTGTGTTTGCTTCTCATTTCTATTTTACCTTTATAATCAAGCAATACTTTTAAATGCACTACAGATTGCAGGGGGTCTCAGAGCCATCTGCACAGCCCCCTCCCCCCCCATACCTCCAGTGGGCTCTGAGGCACCAGTGTAGCTTTCTGCAAGATGTCTCTCATCAGAGGTGGGCAATTGAGTTATATCCACCCCTCCATGCTTGAGCAGGTATCCGAAGAACCACAGCAGCACGAGGCTCCTTGGGGCTTTTTGAGAGTCATACATGACCCTACACAGCAGAGCCACATTGAGTTTGCAGTCCTAACAAAGAGGGCTTGTCATTTTCAAAAATAACCTTACACTTGGAAAAAAATAAGAGAGCTCCTTCAAAATGAATATACTTGCTTCTCCATGTCAATTAACTAGTAAAAAGTTATTTTTCTTCCTTGAGGTTTTCCCATCTCATCTGCCGTACAGGAGACCTCTCATCTGGAGGCTTCTACCAAGCAAGAAACAACCTGAACACCTTCGTTGAGAGGAGGTTTCCTCCATGCCTGGTCCACACACCCAAAGGCTCATGAGTCCAGCTCCACCACTCAGGGTCCACTTTCATGCTCCGGTCTCCCTTTGGGCCCCCTCCTGATCTCAGTTGTTGGTGATGATATTGCCAAGGATGGTGCCCATCCACCAAGGAACACAACAGGGCTGCCACCTCCTTCTAAGGGCCACGAGCTGGGGTTAACACTCAAGTTCTCCCACCTCCCCAACAGGCCTGGGGCAAGCAACAGGTCCCGCACGTATAAAACGACTCACTTCTCACGAGGACCCTGCATTTAAGTCAATTTGGACACTTGCTCCAGCACATGAGACCAAGCACGTTGCATTCAGACCAGCGTTGCTTAACCCGTGGTGACACCCTTCCCAGATGGAGGATTTCACCCACGCTTGGTTGAAGGTGACCGCACCGAATCTTACAGCCAGCTCCTATGTCCCATTTAGGCTGTGCACCCCCCTCACCCCTCAGCCCCCTGCACACCACAGCTGCCACGTTGTCAATATCCACAAGGATGCTGTTGGGGCACCTACAAGCAGGGAGTCACCACTTCCAAGCCAGCAAACACCAGGAAAACATACCAGGAGCCACCTCAGCCCCCAGCTTGGGGGAGAACTGAGCCCAAATTAGTTAAGCAAACAATGGGATCGAAACAGTTAACGAGTAGTGTAAGGTTAGATGATGACACTGCTTTTCAGAAGAACTTGGTGTGATTCCATTGCCAGGCAAGTGATAAATGCCAGACTGCAAAACGGGTGCTGAATAGCAGCAATTTCAAAAATACAGGTGGTTTTGTGAAGAAGACAGCACCAACACGGGAGACTAAAACCTATTTCCCAACAGTTCTTGGTTGCAAACCTCAGGTGGTTTTGTGAAGAAGACAGCACCAACACGGGAGACTAAAACCTATTTCCCAACAGTTCTTGGTTGCAAACCTCAGCCACCCTTCCCTCCACCGCACCAGGATTGCCCAGCTCAGAAAATCACGTGTCCTGCTCCGCAGGGTGCAGGGGCATGTCCATCCCATGGGAAAGCCGTACGGAGAGGTGTCTGGCAAGAAAGAACAACTCGATGGATCCAGGATTTGCTATCGGAGTTACAAACGCCCTGGAGGAACAGCTCATTTTCGGAAGAAACGTCAGGGAAAGCGCAGGCAGCTCCACAAACGCTCTAAGGGACAGGCAGGAGGCTGGATGCCAAATTCTTTCGCAGGAGAAATCCTCGCGCCAAGCAAGGTCAATGGGATTACAGGGGCAAGCAGGGATTGCTCGCACGAGCGGAGATGGGAAGGGTCCAACCCCTGGTTTCCACCCTGGCTTACATCGAGCAAACGCCACCACGCAAACGGCCATGCATAACCTCGTATCCGGGAATACTTCAAAATGCTGTTTTCCTTCATAATTCACCTTCTCTGTGGTCAGGAGGTCAATCACACACCCCCCCCGCCCCCATCTAATTACCTGACCAACCTAAGGGACACAGCTACCACCAGAGCCACAACCTGAATGAAAAAACTGCCACGCTGATAAATGAAAGAAAATTCAAAATACATTGCTCACGCCGACTTGCAGCGGGAATGGCAGCGAGTTTGTGCTAAGGCCGGCATGGGAGGCTGCACATTTATCCCGGAGCAGCTGGGTTTAGAGAGCATGCTCCCTCCCTGCTCCCCCCCCCCCCACCCCAGGGCCTCCCCACCCAAATGGATGAGATTTTGGCCCTTCAGCTGTTTATAAAACCAGCAGTATTGCACCCAGACGCACTCGGCAGCATTCCTCCCTCTCATTCCTGTGAGCTATATAAGGGAACGGCCAATTCCAGCCTTGCCTCCCCCCTCCCCGGAATCGAGCCCCGATCCCAGAGCAGCCCCGGGCTCAGTTTCCTGCAGAAAGACTTAAATCCATTCTCGGTTGAACACGGCGTTGGGCTGGACCTTGTCATCAAATGGCAGCGCAGGCAGCTGCCAAATCCTGCCGGCTCGGGGCTCTAATAGGGAACAGCTGGAAAAGGACCCTGCGTTTTTCCCGCCCCGTCAACACGGGGGGCTCCGTTCGGGATCCAGCCGCCACCAGCCCCGCCAGATTTCCACCCACCGCAAAAAAATGCAACCGGCTGCTTCCCGGCACCGTTCCGACACGCACAGCCCGAAAAGCAAAAGCTCCCGAGCCCCCCCCCCCCCCCCCCCCCCCACTCCTGAGATTTTAAACAAAAGGGATGCTTTGCAACAAGGCGGGGGGGGGGGGGGGGGGGTTTGCTTTGCTTTTTTTTTTTTTTTTTCTTTTGGAGAGGTTGGCAAAACAGAACTATGCAACTTAAAGACAGATTTTTGCCTTCCCTACTCGTACTCTGTATCTCAGAAACTCTGCTGAGAGCGACTTGCATCCCTGCGAATATCTGCGCATACACACTTAGGAACATACATGTTTGCAACGCACACACACCCATAAATAAACACATTAACACACGGCGCAATTCGCACACCGCTTGTGCCATTTTCATCCTGCTCTAATTCCATTTACTTCTGCGGAGTTGAGCTAACTTGTAATGGTGTATAAATAAAACCAAAATATACTTTCGGAGCCATGCACGTTTTCTGTAATGCACCCTGCACGTTCACTAACATAAAACAGTCTACTCATATTTTCTTAGAGCTCCACTGAAACACAAGGGGGTATTCAGAGCCGCAGGAAAAAATGCGTCCAAACAGGATCTGAATGATGAAATAGGAATTGCCACATTTAAAAAAAAATAAGATAGGATAACCCAGCTGCCCAGACCTTTAGAAAATAACAGTTCGTTTGAGGTAGTGATGGGCTGCTTCTGCATGTTGCAGAAAGCAAAGCAAGCCACGTTGTCCAAAAGAAGCCTAGAAAATCCAGACTCTACGTGACCTGACTTACTTATTTCACAGGAAACTGCATGGAAGGAGGAAGGGGGGCAGGGGGGGAGAGGGAAAAAAAAAAAAAAAAAAAAACACCAATCATTCATGCTACCGTAGTTACACCACGCCATAGACCGAAGTAGTTTGCTGTGAAAAATCAAACTGAAATAAGCCATCACTCGTTTAAAAAATAAAACGTAAGAAGAGAAGCTGTTAATGCAATCAAGCTGGGGAGCCCTGGCTCGCCAACCTCCCTCTTTTCCTGGGTGGTTGGATTTTTTGGCTTTTTTTTTTTTTTTAACTTTGCCTGCATTAGAGCATCATTCAAGAAGGGTTGCAGCAAAAAAAAAAATAAAAAAAAAAATAAAAATAAAAAAAAAAGATCACTCACCAGGGTTGTTGGCCTCCCCTTCGAGGATGTGGAGCTCGGTGCAGTCTGCCAGGGAGTGCTCCAGGCAGAGCTGGAGGAAGCGAGCTTGGGTCCGGCTGACGCGTTTCAGCAGCGAGAGCAGCGCAACAGTCTGCTCGCACTCGTTCCAGCCCTTGAACCAACCGGCCAACACGCCGACCTGGTCTCGAAACATCATGGTGAGCCGGCGGCCGGAGGAGACACCTCTGCGGGGGGAGAAAATAAATAACCGGGAGAGCCTCCCTGCCCCGACTCGCTGCTTCCTCCCCTAGGTCTTGGGTCAGGGTTAAAAAATAATAATATTAACAATAATAATAATAATAAAAAAAATAAACAACGACAACAAAAATCTCCTTTGCAATAAAAAGGGTGGGTTTTGGTTTGGACGCAGCTTTCGGCCTGGGTTGGGTTTTGCTCCCTCTCTTCTGGCTCCCGGTGCAGTGTTGGAGTCTCTGACGGCGGTACGGGAGGGAGGGAGGGAGGGGAAAAGGAGTGGGGGTGGTTTGAGGGGGGGCGGCCAAAAAAAAAAAAAAAAAAAAAATTTAAAAGGAGAACCCCAGCGTCAGGGGCTGCCCCCAGCGAGGCTGCGGCGGCGGCGGGCGGGGCGCGGCGGGGGGGGGGGGGGGGGGGCTGCCTCCTCCCGGAGGGGCCTCACACCTGGAAGAGAGAGAGAAAGGGGGGGGTCAGGGGTGGGAAAGAGGAGGAGGAGGCGGGGGGGGGTGGAGGAAGGCTCGCCCTGGCACGCAGCGGCCCGGGCATCGCAGCCCCGCTGCTGCCTTCCTCCTCCTCCTCCCCCAGCGAGATCTCCGAGCCCCTCCAGGCTGGGAGCGCCCCCACCCCCCCCCCCAAGCATGCACCCGGGGGGGGGGGGGGGGGGGCGGAATGTGAGCAACCCCCAGGCAGTGCACCCAGCATCCCCTTGGGGGGGGGGATGGGATAAGCAACACACACCCCTCCACCCCCCAAAAATGCATCCAGCACCCCAATAGTGGGAGGGAGGGAACTCCCCTCCCACGGCAGCCGGGCACGGGGGGAAGCCCCCCCCGCCCCCAATGCACCCAGCACCCCCCGGGGGTGGGAGAAGCAGCAACCCCCGCAATGCATCCAGCACCCCCCCCCCTCCCCAATCCAGCAACGCCACGGGGGTGTGGAATAAGCAACCCCCCCATGCAACCAGAACCGCATGGTGGGGGGGGGGGGGGGGAATAAGCACCCCCGTGCATGCAGCACCCGCATTTGGGGGGTGGGGGAAGAGGGATAAGCAACCCCCCCCAAAGCATCCAGCGCTCGGGGGGGGGGGGGGGGGGGGTGTCCCCGCTGCAGCAAAGCCCAGCTAAAGGGGGGGGGGGGGGGGGAAGTGAGTTTCCCCCCTCCCCCCCGCAGTGTAAACACTCACCTGACTCACTCCGGCCCCGGGGAGCGGGGGGGGGCGGCGCGGCGCCGGGGGGGGCCGTGCCATGGCGGGGAGAAGGGGAGGGGGGGGGGGGGAGAAAAGGGGAGGGGGGCGCGGGGCGCGAGCGGCGGCGGCGGCGGCGGCGGCTCCGCGGCGCGAGACTGAGCCCGGCGGCGCGCCGAGCCCCCGCTCCCCACATGCCGCTCATTTGCATAGCGGTGACGTCATGGGAGGGGGCGGGGCGGGGCGGGGCCGGGCGGGAAAAAGCCGAGGAGGGAAAACCACCATCTAGCGGAGTGGGGGGTAATGGCAGGGGAAGGGGGGGGGATTTGGGGGGAAAAAAAAAAAAAAAGAAAAGGCTACTTTCGGCTTTGATCAATGTCGCATCGGCAAGAAAAGGCATTTTAAAATTTCTTTCTTTTTTTTTTTTTTTTTTTTAGGGGGGGTGGGATGTTTTGCGTGTCTCAGCGGTAAACGCTGCCCCCGGGTTCTGGCGATGGGGAGGGATGGATTTAATCCTGCGAGCGCTCACCGGATTTGTGTTTCGGGCTCTCCCATGCAGGTTTTATTTCCCTGGTCTTCAAGGGATGAGTGATACAGGTGTATCCAAGAAGGGAAATGGCGAAAAAAAAAAAAAAAACGAAACATTTTGCAATAAAACATCAAATATTAAGCAGAATCTAATGCTTTATAAAACGTAAAAAAAAAAAAAAAAAGTGTAAAGTGTGTTTATTTGTGGGCAGAGCAAGAGGATGCCAAATGCCTGACCCTTGCATGGTTTGTGCGTTGGGGAATAAGTGACACTGGTTCCTTCGCAGCAATTTGGGAAGCTCGGAGGTGAGTCTGAGACGCGCCCTGGTGTCGGGGTGGCGAGGGAGGGGGACGTGATGGGATCGTGGCAAAGCGGGGGCTGAACCCCTCCACCGGCGAATCCATTCCCCGGGAGCAGCTGCGTGCTCTGATGGGTGCCGGAGAGAGGAAAACTCCAGGTTTGTGCACCCTTGGGCTTAAAAAGCAATGCACGTGGCTGAATCCGTCCCTTTTGGGGGGTAAAAAAACTAGCAGGGAGATAAAGGCTGCACGAAGCCACCGGGAACGGCCAGTCCCGTGTGCAGGAGCGTTGATCCCACAGCAGGATCCACGAGATGAGGATCACCGAGGCGCTCATCGTCTCCCCCCGCTTACGAGTTTTAGCTTCCAGTCCGTCTGGTGACTAATTAAACAAACGGGAGCGGAGTTCCCTGCCAACAAACCCCAACCATCTGTCTCATCCTCCAGCTCCGTCCTAATAAACGGTCAATCAAAGAGCCCCTTTTCCCCTCACCTCGACGCCGACCGTCGTCCCGCCGCCCGGGTGTGCTGAGGGAGGGCCGGCAGAGCTGCGAGGATGTTCCATCCGCCACGCCGGCGCGCACGTCTTGCACAGGGACGCGGAGCGAGGCTCGTTAACCCATCGGCACGTTAACGGCACGAGGAGCTCCGGGCAGAACGCCGCGCGCTCGCACGTTGCTAATTTAAGGGTTGCCAAGCTTGCTTTGCCGGTAACGCCCCTCGGGTTTTGCGTTTTGCACATCTGAAGCGGTAATAGCAGCGATCAGGAGAATATTCAGGGCTGAAACATCAAGTGCAGCCCTCGGTGAGGCCGGGCAGGTCGTCTCCACGTGTGCAGCGTGTCACGAACGTGTGAGAGTAAAAGGACCCAAGCCCCAGAGTCTGTCCCGTGCTCCAGGAGACAGCGAGGCCCTGCTTGATAATAAAACCCAAAATAATCATCCGCCACCCAGGACCCCGCAGTACCTATTCCCCATAGTGTCCCCAGGAAGCAGATGTGGAGGAGCGAGAACCTGATGTAATGGCATATGTTGTGATGTTTGGAGGTTTCTATGGTAATTAAAAAAATATATCTGCGACTCGTGGAAGAAATACCCCGCTGCATCACTAGATGCATTACCCGTGCAGATCAGTGTGATAAAATGATCCCCAAGCTGGCTGGAAGCAAATCTCCTTTTCTGGGGTTAATCAGCTGGGGCGGGGGGCACTCGTCAGCACCTCCATGGTCAACTCCCTTCCCCGTGGATGGAGCATCCAGTGTGCAAGCTCTATGTCCTGGGAGCAGAGACACCCCAGCCAGCTCTGCACAGACACAAGGCAGAGCGAGGGGTGAAGCGGGAAAATTCTATCTTATATGGAAGTTCCTGAGGGACCCCAGGATCTTCACGGATCCAGCTGAAGCATTTCTGCAGGGCTGCAAGTCCTGGGGCAAAAAGCGGGGCTTTGTGTTGTCCCTGCTGTCGTAATTTGGCCGGGGCAGAGCTAATGGTGAGCTCTGCCCGACTTCCACTGCCAGTGTGCCAGGGTGGTTTGGTACAGCAGCATTTAGGCACCTTCTACATTTCTGTTTACCACTCCAGAAAGAAAACAAGAGGTCTGTGGTAGTATTAGCCAAGCAGGTGGTCTAAGCAAATTAGCAAATCTTGACAGTTCATGAGTTCAAAGGAAGCAGTTGCTCATCTCTGTGGAAGCTATCTGATAACATATTTAGCTGAAGAAAGGATGAGCATATCCACCGGCACACAATGGCCTAGATTTCCTATCTCATTAAACCCTACTTTTAGGGAAAATATCATGGTAGGCAGGCTGAGATAACTAAACACAGCATCTATTCCATTTGCTCCTCAACAAAGTGTGGGAATCGGCCACTGGGATGTTAGTGTTTTCCTTACCTTGGGTGGTGGAGCTGTACAATGCATACAAATAAACTCTGCCAAAACCAGACACAAACAAATCTAAGAAAAATAAAAATAAGAAGTAAATAATAAAACCTAAATAAAACCTACATGGGTCTATATTTCCAAACTGGATGGGGCAGCCATTAAAAGTTTGTATTTATACTCATGCTCCTGTGCCCAGTCTAGGGAGTTCGGGGATGATGTCAGGTCTGAATTCACCATGAGAAGAGCAACGATCTTCCAAGGGCTGTCCTACTTGGGTCTGGGGAAGGAAGACACAGGTCTCTTCTGCCCTGAAGAAGACAGAAAAAAACACAATCCCAGACCTGGAACACCTAATCTGGCTCTCCATGCACCTCATTTTGCTGGCATCGTTTTGGGACAGGGTGTGAAATACTTGTCTTCCAGGCTCAATGCATGACCCTGCCCCATGGATCAGCTCTCAGTTCGGATGTACAACCACTCCTTAAACCCCCTCAGTGGTAAATTAAGTGTTGTAGCCTAAATCCTCATTCGCTGACTTGCCTGAGGCAGGAGGCAGTGATCGAAGGGAAGAGGGCTGGGAGGAAAATCGCATTTAACCCTCTGGCGTGAGCTGCAACAGGGGATCAGTGCACAGCTGAAGGGGAAAGAGAAGAAGTGGCAGCATCTGGGTGCTAGTGGAAGCACTGGGAAATACTGGTTAGCACGGGAAAAGCTGCTCATGTTATATTTGTTTAGCTGTTGTCAAGGGGTTGCCTTGGGAAGACCCTGTTTCGTCTCTGCCAACGCCGTCCTGTTGTGCCGCGAGCGCACTGGCATCTGCCTCGCCAGCAACATCAGCCCTGCCCTGCGCGCTTGGCGAGCTGGCTCACAGGGACCCCAGGGACACAAAGGCAACAAAATAAATCAGCTTAACTAGTGGTTCTCAAAAAAGCACCCCTGGCAAATGTATCACAGGCTGCTCTCACGCCCGGTGGCGCGCACAGCACTGGTGAGGAGGAGGAGCTGAGGAAGAAGGGGATGCGAAGGATTTATTTAACCCGGCAGGCAGTAAGTTGCATTGAGCTCTTTCAGTTTCAGATAGCCCCTTGAATATAAACACAAGCTTTTGCAATGCCAAACCTTATCGTCCCATCAACAGCAAGCGAGTATCTGCAGAAGTGGTCTTTGCAAAACGGAGACCTCTGCGTGTGTTGAGGGCAAAGCCTGACTCGAGCCCCACGGGGCCTTCGGGGCAGCCTGGTGATTAGGTGTGCTGGTTTGTGAGGTACACGAGGGATGTCCTGTCCCATCCCACCCCCCCCCAGCCGGCCAGCAGCGCGGGCACGGAGCACAGCTCCAGCTCACACCTCGGATGGGTCTGCAGCAAGATGCCTGAGCAGCTCTGGGCCCCTCTTCATGTGCACTAACACCCCGTAAATGCCTGCCGGCGAGATAACTCCCTGGATGGCTATATCCCATAGCTTCACGTCATGTTTACCTACAACACTCAGATTTTTCAAACCATTTCCAGCCAGCAATGAAAGCAGCTTGTTGTAGGACT